AGTGATTGTTGTAACAAGGCTGCGAGAACTGCGGAAAACAATCCGCAATCACCAACGAAGTGAATAAATACTTTCTCCTGCTCCTAATGCAACAGTCAAAGATTACGGCATCCTCTGTTCTCTGTACAACGCGCATGTACTTCTTAAGCAAATATTTCCCCTGACGCTGTTCAGCGAGTTTATTGAAAAGCTTGAACTTCGTGTACGTGGAATCATTAGTTCAACTGAGGAGTGCATGGAACTATAATGAGTGCATGAGTGCAGCCCGATTGCATCATGCAATCGGGCTGCACTCATGCACTCATTATAGTATATATAGTATATACCAAGAAACAAGATAGTTCTGAATAGTACCTGTCTTTTTTATGGATCAAGCACCAGATGCATGAATTGTTGGAGATGGCCCCCTTCATTCCCATTGAAAGAAGTAGAAACTGTTGGAATGATAATAATAATGCAATAAACCACCAAGCTCAATGTCATCCAGTACACAGTACACAGTACACAGTCCTGGAAACTTTGCAGTTTTTTTATGTAATCATCAAGTCATAGACATTGTACTTACTTTGTAATCACCCCCCAAGAAGAACTGCAGTTTTACTTTCTTTCCATTCATTACAACAAATCCATCGTCGATTAGCTTATTGACAGTTGATGTCACATTTGCCAATCCATTTCTCAGGTTTTTATAGTCTTCAGAGGTTTTCAGTACAGCAATAGTGTGGTTGCCTGTAAAAAGCACAATACATGTAAGGGGGGAGTAGAAATACTTGACCTAAGTTGGTTGAAATGTTTAACTTCAGACTTTTTCAACATGTTCATTAGAATCGAACAACATTGGCAATTAGTCATGAGATGTATAGAAACAAAAACAGATAACTTGTGAGTACACTGTAGTTTTATCAATTAGGGATCTCAATTTTGAAAAAGGCTGTTCTGCTATTCATAAATAAATGCATGTATATTGTGGGAGGAAAAAAACAAGTAAACTACATACTCCGCTCTACATTTATGTATTGAGCACTGTTTTACGAAAATCAAATTTTACACTTTAAATGCATGTGTATGTATGTATGTATGCGTGTATTTACCTGCACTAGAGAGTACATTTTGACCTTCATCCAAGATAGAAAAGGAGCACACAAATAAATTGCTGGAATGAGACATTCTTGCACCATCACCAGATATTTTCACTTTCACTGTTGGGCTTTGGTCTTCTGGTTGGTTGGTCTTCTTCAGCTAGAGCAAAATGTAACAGAGTGTGAAATGATTTCTTTTGGACTTGTTCAACTTATAGTTTATTTGCTGTGGCTCCCATAAACTAACACACTGTGCAACCATAAGCTTAATTAAATTGTGTAACTTGTTTTACTTACATGTTTTTCAATTTGTTGCTTCAGTAGGTCCTCAAGTGGTAACTCAGCTCCTGGTTGGTCCCCTGGTGCTTTTCTTATGTTCCAACTAGAGTCTATGGTGCCTTGACATCCCTGTACCAAGTAGGATCTAGGCAGTGTCTGGTCCTGCTGAGTCAGCTCATGGTAAGCCTCCCATGAAATGGAAAACTTGTCCATTATAAAAAGTATTCCCCTGATTTTCTCCTTTTCAGTTTCGGGCAACTTCTCATATGCATGCATTTTCTTCTCTAAAGGGAAATAACAATTTTGATGACATTATTTCTTGAAACAACGTTTAACCATCAAGTACCTAACCCAACATAAGTGTATTTTTTTGTGCTGAAGACTTGGAAGTGTTTATGTTTTGTTATTCTTCGTGTTCATAGAGACAAGACATTATTATTATTATTATTATTATTATTATTATTATTATT